TCATACTGAAGCATCTCAGGATTTAATTGGTTGCTTCTTGTTTCTCTTTATATGCATATAGATAAGTGTAATGGTTAAGTAAAATGAATCCGGAGCCTGTTGGACATTGATTAACTTGCAGTACGCCTTCAATATACTTAGCTGTAGGCAAGCCTGGAGTATATAGAAATAGCCAACCCAATTATTGGACGACTTAGTTAGTTCGAAAGATTACGGATAGGTAATACTCGGTCGTAGTTAAATTTGGCATACTTATACATCCAATGCACCGAACTTAGCAAAAATTAACTCACTTATGAAGGGGAAAGTAAGTCCTTACCTCATTGAATAACACACGCCTGTCATTTTAGAATAACAAGAAACAATACTGGTAACGAACCAGATAAGATATAAAAGAACATCTGGGAGCATTATAATAAACGTACTCAAGCTAAACACAAATAAAATGTGCTTATCGACACTCGTATTTTAAGCATTTTGTTATTAATGTGACCCATTATTTTTAGGTTTCGCTTTTCTTCGGTGATATTGTTTTCCAAAAATATTGCTACTAATTTTTCCTCGATCTTAACACTTAGTTATACACTTTACCTACACTCATTAACCAGCGGTGCCTCTTTCAAACCCACTCTCCTCCGTGCTTGTCCGCGAGCTATGGTGAGCTTGAATCTGTCTTATTTTCCCAGCCAGAAGATCAAATAAAAAAGCGAAGGCCCTTTAAAAAATTTTTCTACAGAGGTGTTGATTTAGACCAACTTCTTGATATGAAAGTGTAGGCATTCATTATTTTAATGTTCAGTGATCAACTCGCTAGCCTCTTCAATTCTCGTGCCAGGAGGACACTTATTCGTGGCCTCAAACAAAAGCATCAAACTCTATTAAAAAAGCTTAGGAAAAGCAAGAAGGAATGTCCTCAAGGGGAAAAACCCTCGGTACCCCGTTCGTTGTTGTTTATCTTCTTCTAGGTCGTTAAGACGCATCTGAGGAATATGATTGTTCTCCCTGAAATGGTTGGATCTGTCGTCGGTGTTTACAATGGCAAAACTTACAATTCCGTGGAAATCAGGCCGGAGATGATAGGCCATTATTTGGGGGAGTTCTCCATCACCTATAAGCCTGTCAAACACGGTCGGCCTGGTATAGGTGCCACACACAGCTCCCGATTTATTCCTCTAAAATAAATAGCTGCATCACCCTGGAACCATTTTTACATTCTTTCGTTCAGTTACCATCAGAGAGCCTTACCTCAGTTGCTCCAGTTCCAGAAACGCACGGAGGCACTAAATCCCATTATCCGAGCGGGCTACCTTACGGGTCTAATACAGTTTTTGTCTCTTCCTAACAGTAACATCTGGATTCCAAGCCTCGTACACGCTGAACTACAGCTCATCGCCATTTATTCGGGTG